AAGAGATCATCAATCCTCGGCAATGGGTAACGATTTTTCACAGTCACTTTGTTTAGTTGCCGATAATCAATGCATAGTCTCATAGAACCATCCTTTTTCTTCACGAATAGAACGGGTGCGCCCCATGGAGACACACTAGGTTGGATGAATCCCTTATCCAAGAGATCTTGAAGTTGTGCCTTTAATTCTTTCATTTCAGCGGGAGCCATTCGATAAGGAGTTGCTGAAATGGGAGTGGTACCAGGAATTAGTTCAATATTAAATTCCACTTCTCGAGATGGTGGTAAACCTGGTAATTCATCAGGAAAGACATCTGGAAAATCTTGTACAATAGGGATATCTTGTACTAATTGAGCTTCTTTCTGAGTGTCACGAACATATGCTAGATATGCTTGACATTTCTTACGCATAAGCCTTTTAGCATGCATCATAGAAATGAGTTGAGGTGGCTTCGGAAATAATTCTCCAGGAACAAGAATAGTATCACCCTGCTCAGTTTGAAGTAGTAATGTTTTGTCTTGGCAATTCACTATAGCTTTATGCTTAGAGAGCCAATCCATACCAAGAATTACATCAAATTCTCGATAGGGTAATTCAATGAGATCTGCATTAAATTGTTTCCCTTGAACCTCTAAAGGACAGTGTCGGTATATTTGATTAACAATAATACTTCTCCCTAGAGGTGTGGACACCTCCATTTGGATGTCTAGATGTTCTTTTGGATATTCATTTAAACAAGGTGGGCAGACACATATATAGGAATGTGTGGAACCAGGATCAATTAAAGCAGATATATCAGTGTTGAAAAGGGTGAACATACCAATAATGACATCATTCTCGGGTTGCTCTTCTCTAGCCTGCATGGCATAAGTCCGAGCCTGGGGACGACCCTGTGTAGGCCTGTTTACCGTATCAGAGTTGCTCCCAGCATTGCCTTGGATACGAGTTTGTTGGCTCATCTGTGGGGGCTGAGTAGGACGGACTGGAGCTGAAGAGGCATCACCTGTGACAAGCAAAGGGCATTCTCGGAGCATGTGCCCCTTTTGACCACAACGAAAACAAGCTCCAGAGGCTCTTCTGCATTCACCGATATGGTGTTTGCCACAGAACGAGCATAGCGGGACACTTTTGACCTGAGAAACTGGTGGTCGAGGTTTGTTGCTACCAGACGTGGACTTGGCACGAGATGATTCATTATATCGACTCTGAGATTTTCCCTTTCCACTTTCATGTCTCTTCCCCGTCGAGTTCATTGTCGGTGCTGAGTAAGAAAATGTCCCCCTGCTGCTCTTTCTTCTGCGCCACCCTTCAAAACTTTGAGCGGCCCCCACAAGCAACGTGAAGCTAACATGGCGTAAGGTAACCACCTGCCCAGCGATTTCCTCATTAAGCCCATACTCAAATTTCCGGCACTTGTCAGCTTCCATTCTTACCATATCAGGAGCATACTTGCTCAGGCGAAGGAATTCATATGCATACTCTGCCACCGTCATTGATCCTTGTGTCAGATCCATAAACTGCCGTTTTCGTTCTTCTTGATACCAGGCCGGGACAAATTGATCTATGAAGTGTTCCTGGAAGTAGTCCCACGTCACGGGTCTCGGTAGATCAGGTCTGAGAAGTACTGATTTCCACCAATCGTAGGCTCCATGTTGCAGCAAACTAATTGCATGCCGTGGGCGATCGGCTATCGGCACCTGTAAGTCTTCTAAGACTCGAGCAGTTTGCTCAAGCCAAAATTCGGCAATTTCTGGAGTATCCCCCCTTTTTCCAAAGAAAATGGAGGCGCCATTCTTCTTTAGCTTCTCGATCGTAATGGACTCCCGTGCATCTGCGTTATTAGTCGGGATCACATTTTGAACGATTTGTTGAAACAGTCCAGTCATCTGTTGTATGAACGGATTCGGAACATGGTATTCATCATGGTGAGCGCTGGCATGTTCAGATCCATGCACAGAATGCTCACTTGGATCTTCAGATGACATTATAGGCGCCTAAATTTTAAAGTTCCATAATAGCTTAGTTATCTATGATATAACTAAATACAAGGATGTGAGGCAGACTTCTAAAATGCAATGCAAGACACATATTAAAAATAAACTTAAACCCATTTTTTTTCAGAATCGCTTTTAAAACCAAACGCTCTGATACCAAAATGTAACACCCTACCCGAATCAGCCCCGCCGACCCGAGCGGTGTGTCACGTGGCAGAAATCAAAACAGATTTAAATAAAACACTTTTAATTAGTTAAAACAAAATTTAGTATTTAAATAAAATATCTTTATTCAAACGTCAACTTATTGTTCAATACGTGAAAATATCAAGTCACCATAAATCACTTAATATTATACAGCACAAAATATTTCAAGATATGCGGAAGCGTTTACAAAACGAAAATGATCAGATAAGTTTAAAGTCAAACTTGCTTCTTCTTTGTTTATTTATAAACAATACACACATGATATGCACATGAATCCTACGCCTCCTTCCATCCCAGCATCCTTATCTTAGCTGAATGAACTTCAACCTACGGGTAGGAAAAACAAACAACTACCCGCTCAGCAATGTGCTGAGTGGTACGGTACAAATACTGATAACGATAATCATAACAATAATGATAAATATAATAATTATCACATATTTAAATCAAATAACAACATATCATAATTAGCATCTAGTCAAACAAACAATTGACATACCTGAGTGAGCCGAATAACTGTCATGAAAATCAAAATATTCATATAAGATCAGAAGCATATTCAGATATCATAATTATCAAATAATTCTTATCCGGAGGTATATTATTAATAAATTCATTTAAGCCTTGTACTCAAGAAACTGGACCTAGACAGAGGAATACTAACGGTAAGGAATACGGACATAAAGTCCATACCCACATTACCCAGAAAGGATATGGAAACGTAATCGCCGGAGCTACACGTACCAATCCCTAACAGAAGCTAGCTGAACAGAAAGGACGAGATCACCGAAGAGACTCGAACCTTAACAGAAGAGTAATAGTGCTCTAAAAAGATTTCAGGGGTGTACATAGTACACTAAACAGGAGAACACTAATTCCTCTAAAACAGAATTTCAGGAGTGTACGTAGTACACTAAACAGACATATCAGGAGTATTCTCGTCAGAGTGCCGGATCAAGAGTAAGGCATTTATGAAACATTTCTCTTTATTTTCTTTAGTTTGTTTACAATAAAAAATATCGAGTTTAATATATCTTACATTAGGGACATTTTCAGATTTCAAAAATTTTACATAAATCTTTACTAGATTCAACAAAGAATTATTTATTTGCTTATACAATCTAAGCAGCGTATTTTTGTTTATACATAAAATATACCGTATAACTTAATTCAACATATATGCTTAAATCTTTAAATATCTAAGCAGCGTATTTTTTATTTATTTATTTATAGTTTTAAAGAATTATTTTTAACAAATATACCGTATGACCTAATTCAACATATATATAGCCTAATCATTACTTTGGATTATAACTAAACTTATTAAAAAAATCAATTCTTAACTTACTTTTTTTTTACGTAGAAACAATACATGCTTAATTGATATGCTAAATTTTAGTCCATAATTGTGTAGACACGTATTTATGTATACAATACCTAGCTACGTGTAAGCTAGTTAACATACATGAAGTGAATATAAGCATTACACGCAATATCACACTTCACACGTTTGTCTACATATTTTTAGTTAAGTCAGTTACTGATAGTACTCCTAATAATTTCCATGAACCACAATTTTTAGGCTACACTTTTAAACTGATTACACATGCATCACTTATATACTGAGTACATATTATGAAATATAAATCTGAGATACTATACATATTTACGTCACTTTATATATATACTAAGATCCCTCATGTTTACTTGGAGATATTCACATCAGCATGTAAAGTATATTTGTTTAGATAAATCCTAATACTACGTATATGCCAATCGCACCTATCATACAAATTCATCCCTATAATCATTATTGTATACTCATCTCATACACTGAATCGTCGTTGAATTTTTCTAAATAATTTTTCTTCAGATATTTAACAATCGATTGAAGTTATTACCACTAAGTTGTGTATTTCATTCTTTTAAACTTACGTTTATATTTAAACAAAATACAGTGAATATCAAACGTCTACATACAGAATAATAGTTTTAACAAATTAATGAACATTTAACTAGAGCATACAAAATATTAAAGTTATATACAATTTCATCATCCCCATAATATAACGGGGACGGAATACTAATACTAATAATAATAATAAGTGGGGGGCGGGAACGTACTGACCTTATACACGAAATTTTAATGATTTTTGGATCTGAAGCTATTTTTCTTCAGCTCGTTTCTACCTCTTCTGCTTGTTCAACCCTTCCTTACTTAATAAATATTTTTAGGACTAATAATGGCTGGCCGTATGGTATATGTGTGATCCTTTGGGATAATTGAGGTCATCTATATATAGTGTGACATGGTCTTGCTAATTCACATATACGGAGTAGTAGATAGAATTTCTAGCAAACATAATTATTGTCATAACTATTCCTTCAAAGATGATTAGGCTAGATGTCTTGTTTTAGTGTAAAAATATCTTATAAGATTAGACCTTTAATTGGCTGCCCATCCCTGATTAATTGAAGCTATCTGACTATTTTGATTTTTTTAGATTTGTCTCAATTGCTATTTAGATTAGTCCAAGAAGTGCATTAATACTTGGGACACGTAATGTTTATCTCTACTACACCTTAAATGTCTTATTAGAAAATTACGCCAAAGAAGTGTACATGAAGATGTGAATTACTACGGTTTATGATTGACGTGTTTTTTTTATATTATAAAATTATACTTTATAAATTATACGAATTAGGAAATGTTTTTTTTTTTAAATTTGATAGGGTAATAATATCTAAAAATTTATTCATATGTGTCTTAACTATTAGACCACATTTTGGGGCATTACAGTAACTATATAGGGGAATTCATTAAATTTGATGAAAGCCACTTTAAAGAAAAATGGAGTTCTTACTTGAGGGTTAGGGTAAAGATGGATATAAGAAGACCCCTAAAAAAAGGTTCTACTTTGACTAAGGGAGGGGAAGGACACTGGGTAGATTTTAAATATGAAAAACTACCAAACTTCTGCTTCATTTGTGGGATTATGGGGCACTCTGAGAAGTTTTGCCCGTTAAAATATGTGGAGGATCTAGTTTTGGAGGAAAATTTTAGTGCTGATCTCAGAGCAGGTGGTGGGGTTAAGATCAGCCCCACGAGGGGCGGCAAGTGGTTGGGGGATAAACATGGAGGTTCGAGTCAGCAATGGAGGGCTCAACAAAAGGAAGAAGGCACTATGAGACGGGACCGCAGGGGAAGTACCGCTGAGTCTGAAAGCAGTGGCACAAAGGAAGAGACTAGAAGCGGTGCTGGGGAGGTCGCGGTGGACCAGAAGCGCAAGAGAGTTTGGAAGGAGCCGTCAGAAGAAAACATCTCAGGGGAGGAGATGGCACTGGACAACACAAAAAACGGGGAGGAGGCGGGTCTCAGCTCCTAGGCCCGCCTGAAGTATTCATGAAGCTGCAGGTGCAGAGTTTCCACGGTGGTGCTTATTTTATTATTGCTTGCTTTGTTTCTTTTGATGGTCAGACTGTTGTTTTTGTTATTGGTTTTGGTTATTTTTGTAAGACTCTTGCATTAGGCTCGGGTGATGAGTGTGCTGCAGTAACCATTATTGGCTCAGTTATGCCCAGTTTAGGATCAGCGAGTTATACTGCTTTTTTGAAGGTGGTTAACTCAGAGTCTGGCCCAAGGGCGGATGGTTATGGGTGGTGCTCTTGTTATTTTAGATCCTTGCTGAATGCTTTTATTCTAATATAAGCCCCCTTCATTCAAAAAAATAATTAATATAAAACATTACAAATACAACAAAAATAACTACATTGTTCCACACAAGGCAAATCAGATAGAAAAAGTTAGAGGATTATAAAATGAATTCATCTTGCTACTATCGTCCAAGTTTGGTTGTGAAATACTCCATAGTTATCAAGAACTATCCCATAGGGATAGTACTTCATGGGTTATCAACGTTAATTTTAAATTTGAATAGATCTAGATTTTGAATGGCGAAATAAAAAACCCATATTGTTGTCAAATATTACAATATAATTTTATTTGCACAATAATTTACAAATAAATGCATGGTATTACTTTTTTGGTACGTCAATATAATCTTCCACAAAATATAAACCTATAAAAATAGGTTTAAATATTGTTTTAGTCCCTGCAAATATGACATGCTTTGTTTTAGATCCCTCTAAAATATTTTCTTTGTTTTTCATCTCTCTAATATGCATTATTTTGGTTTTAGTCCACCTCTAACTTCGAAAAAGCTCTACTTACATTTTTATTTATTGTCAGTTGCATAAATCTACTGAAAACATTTTGATGGTACCATGGATTCAGACATGGTCCAATTACGTAGTCCAGCCCATAAACGGGATCAGCCCTTAACGGGATTAGCCCATAAACGGGATCAGCCCTTAACGAGATCAGCCTAATTACAGGATTAGCCCATAAACGGGATTAGCCCATAAACGGGATCAGCCTAATTACAGGATCAACCCATAAACGGGATTTATCCTATATGATTAAAAGCCGCTTAGCCCATTAGGAATCAGGCCCACGATAGGAACCCACAGCCAGGCCGGGCTGGACAGCAGACCTCGAGCCTGGGCGGAGTTCTAGTGAGGTCGGGATATTCCTAGGGCTTACGTGGAGAGCTATCACTCGTTGATAGATATTTGGCAACAGGTAGAACTCATCCGGAGAACGGCGATTAAAAGGAGAAAGCAGTCATGTGGGAATCAAGCATGAGGTATTTGCCCAAATAGGAGTAAATAAATCTTTAATTGCTAAAGTGGGAGTAAAGTTAAAAAATTTCTCAAATAGGAGTTATTAATTGTAGATGGGCAGAAATATCCCTGAAGCCTGCTAAAACCTACTGCAAGTCTGCAACAGCCAAAACGTTGGAGCCGTTGGTTGTCGCTCGCCGCCGACCATCGCCGGCCGACCGCCGCCGCCAGTCTCCGACTGCCTCCACCAGTCTCCACCCGGACCTCCGTCGGTCTCTGGACGCCGTTGCCACATCAGATCTGGCCAACTGCCGTAGATCTAGCTAGATTTGACCACCGCCGCCCACCACTCTTACAAACAAGCCGCCACCGCTGTAGATCAGCCTCCGGCGATCCACATCTGACCGCCTCCGCTGCTACTACCAACACTTTTATCAAAATGCCAATATGAATCGAGAATGCCATTTTAAAGGCATTTTAAAAATAAATAAAAATGGCATTTTTGAAGAGAAAACTGCCATGAAAATGGCATTTTAAAACAAACTTAAAGATGAAGAAATTGTTATCAGCGAAATCATATGGACCGACGGATGAACATCTCGATTTTCAGGATCTAAAGTGAGGGAGAAAGAAAGAAACAAAAGTGAGTGGAGGAATTGACTAAGAAGAAGGAAGAGAAAGTGAAGAACGATCTTCAATTTCAAAACCAGATCTGAAATTGTTGTTGGTCGTCGCCGATCATCGCCACTCCTTCGCCGCTTGTCACCAGTCGTTGCTGTCACCACGAATCGTCGTATGTCACCATAAGCTCTTAGGTCAATGTTGAAGATGAACAATGGAAAAGGGTGGTGCGGACAGTTTGTTGTTTTTTGGGGAAGAAGTCTAGTGCAGTGTGGATCGTTGCGCTTACCGCTACACTAAAAGCAATCGCTGATAGTGTAGCACGCCCTTCCCCCTTTTATAGAACAGGCAAAGCGCCACGCGGTCCGATTGCACCGGCAGGCTGGCAGATTGCTGACCGCAGACCCGCGGCAGGCCCAACAATCTCCCCCCCAGCACCTGCCAGCCTACAACTGAGCAGCATGCTGTTGCCGGGGGTCGAACCCGTGACCTTTGGCTCTGATACCAATTGTGGATCGTTGCGCTTACCGCTACACTAAAAGCAATCGCTGATAGTGTAGCACGCCCTTCCCCCTTTTATAGAACAGGCAAAGCGCCACGCGGTCCGATTGCACCGGCAGGCTGGCAGATTGCTGACCGCAGACCCGCGGCAGGCCCAACATGCAGACGGTTTCTCGTTGGAGGGGAAGAACCGACAAGATGGTGTGGCACAATTAAAATTACAAAAAGGGTAAAATTGTAACAATGATCCCATTTGGGAATAAAAATATAAATACTCCTATTTAGGAATTTAAGTAATAATTTAGTCCTACTTAAGGCAATAACTCATCAAGCATCGAAGAGTTCTATTTTGAGCGAGAATATTGTTCATTAATTGAACATTTATTGTATAAGATTCCCCCATAATTCTACTTCATAATCTCTATAAATACTTGATGTAAATACTCTACCAAGGGATCGGTCCCCTGATAAAATTCTAAACCGAGGCTAGATTATTGCTAGTTCTCCGGAATAAAGAGTAAAACTGTCTTACGCTGCCATATTATTCTCATATCTACGTATATTTAGCTCTCGTAGTTGGATTTAACTCCATCATTTGGTGCTCTCATTGAGAGCCGAGTATACGAAGCAACGATGGTTGGATCAAATAGCCATAATCGCGTTGGTAGCAATCAAGGCGGAGATCGTTTCAATCATGTCGTGATCGAAGACGAAGGGTCAAGGTCTCGAAGGAGCAATTTTAGGAGGCGCAACAATAACGCCGCCACACAAGGCGATTTAAGGAACCAGATTTGTGGTGTGGGGAATCCTAGGGACCCGGCGGTGCGTCCACCGCAGTTCCAGATTCCGGGTACAGGGCATAACATCCCCGCCATGGATCCTACCCAAGCTTTGGCGAGCTTGGCCACATTCCAGAGGGTGGTGGAGACTTTGACAACTGCATTCCAAGGTATCATTCCGAATCCCACTGGGAGACTTCCTTCCCCTCGTCGGGCTCCATCTGTGGCTCCGCGAGGAGAAGAGAACTCTCTCTTGCGCACGAGGAATTCTCCACCAACCCAGTCTCAGCTCTCCCACCAATCCAGGGCAACTCCCAAGATTCCGGTGGCAACCGGATAAGTGAGCAAAGGATTTTTGTTCATGATAGACTCTCCTCTAGGGTTGAGCACAGTGAGGAGCATCTTCGGTCGTCGTTTCGTCCCACCACCGAAGTGTGCGAATGGCAGGGCTCCCAAGAAACCCTGATTGATTTCCTGGATCGTTGGAGGGAGGAGACAGTCAAGGTAAAAGACCTGGATGACAAGTCTGTTGTGGCTATCCTCACCAACGCTCTGAGGTTGGGCGATCTATACAAAGACTTTATACGCAAGCCCCCGACCTCCCACGAGGAGGCTCTACTGCGCGCCAAGGCACAAGCCGAGGTTGAGGAAGCTGGGAAACGAAAGAGAGGCGAGGAATCTGGGAAGTCTCAGCCTAATGGAGAGAAAAAGAAAAGTTCAAACAAAGAAACCCATGACCCGGAGAAAGGAAGTGGGTTCAAAAAGAAGAAGAGAGGTTGAGTAAAGGGCAAATCACATGTTCCAGATGGACCTTTGTCCAGCCAACCTGAATTTCCAGTTGATACCGGCTTAGACTGTGCGGAAAGCAAGGTCTGATCATTATTCCTGAGGGATGTAACGTCGTCAACGGTCAAACTTCCAGAGGTAAGTTCTGTAAAATCCACAGAAGCGATACCCATGAGACCGGCGAATGTTACTTCCTAAAGAAGGGTGAAGGTAGACCTCTCAGAACCAATTAGAAGAAAAATTGAAGAAATCCAACGAAATGATTTATTGAGTTCTGTAAATTCAAGAAAAATTATTCATTTTAGAATCCAACGAAGTAAATTGAAGAAAAATTATTCATTTTAGAATCCAACGAAGTCGGTGGCATATATTTAGAGAGGTTTCCACACAGCTGTATATTAAAGTACAGTTTGCTGGTAGATTTAAAGTTTATTAAAGTACAAATCCAACGAAAGGATTTATTGAGTTCTGTTTATTTTTTAAAGTTACTTAAAAGGGAATGACTTTTTGACATTCCAATGGTCTCAATATTAAAGTACAGTTTGCTGGTGGAATTAAATGATCTTGGGGGATGCAACGTGTAATGTTTTATACTACGTATCATACGTAGTATAGAGTTTTCATGACACGTGACATATATTTAAGGCCATGTGTAACTTTATACGGAGTATTTCTTTTACTACGTACAATTTTAGAAATGTCTAGAAATCGAATTTCAAATCTATTTTAAAACAATAAATTTAATGTCAGATTTTTTTATAATTACAATTGTAAGACAAGTAATGCTATTTAAGAGTTAAAATATTTAAATCTATTAAAAAATCCATGGTCATTCAACTTTCAAATATTTCGGTACAAAAACTAAAATATGAATTCAAAATTTTGGATTCAAAAACTAAAATATGAATTGAAAACTAAAATATTTTTTGGAATTGAAAACTAAATTTTTTTAATCTTCATATTTTAAATCAATCCTCATATTTTTCTAAAATTCATTGTGTCTTACGGAGAATTCAAAAAAATATTTTAGTTTTCAATTCAGATTTTAGTTTTTGAATCCAAAAGTTTTGAATTCATATTTTAGTTTTTGTACCGAAATATTTTAAAGTTAAATGACCATGGATTTTTTAATAGATTTAAAAAAAAAAATCTTAAATGGCATTACTTGTCTTACAATTGTAATTACACACAATCTGACATTAAATTTATTGTTTTAAAATAGATTTGAAATTCGATTTCTAGACATTTCTAAAATTGTATGTAGTAAAAGAAATACTCCGTATAAAGTTACACATGGCCTTAAATATATGTCACGTGTCATGAAAACTATATACTACGTATAATACGTAGTATAAA